ACCCTTTATCAGTAAAGGACATGACAATAAGGAAAAACTCTGTTCTGTTCATTCATTATGTCAATGGTATGAGTCATCTCATCCTTCTGAATCACAAATAATGCAGAAAGAATAAAATTTAAACATCAGTTTGTAGAAGAATTAATATAATCATAAAAATATTACCTGAAAATTATAAATATCCACTGCTATAGATTGATACAAAAACGTGGTGCTCAGATATTTATAGATTTCATTGACATATGTTTGTGAATTAATAAAATGTAACATTATGTATAGTCGCATTTAATTATGAACAATATGGCTAATCATAATGATATCAAAAGATATATTACACAGGCCTCAAAACAAAATATCATGGATAGACATTATTTGCCTAAGAGGTCTTAACCAAAAATTAAATAAAAAAAAATATCCATACTGTAAAATACTTTATTTTCGCTTGGAATTAATTTTCGATATTTTCGCTGAAGGAAAATAATTCAGTGAAAATAAAATCCAGCAAATATACTTTTTTTTTCCTATATTTTACATTCAACTCGTCAAAAATCAGTGAAAATAAATTCCATATGAAACACCAAAAAGTCTTTTCAGTGAAAATATATTCTATCTAAAATAAAGTATACAGTGCGTCTATAACAGTATCATGGATAGACATTATTTGCCTAACAGGTCTTAATCAAAAATTAAATAAAACAAATCCATATTTGTTATATTAGTCATGCTAATACAAAGGTGAATTATATTTTAACGACTGAGTATTCTATTAATGAAGTTTTTGGTGTATGTTATTACTGGAGATAAGCTTTAGATCCAGCAAATATAATATTGTTATTAGTGATTTCAATTTCCAAATTTAATTTACATTGACGGCAAAATGCTGATGATGATATTTTAAAATGTATATTTTATTGTTTATTTACATCACTGCTAATGTTTTCAAACTGTTGGTGAATGCAAACTTTTTTTGGTATGTCTAATTTCAGGAGTTAGTTTCAAATCAAGTCAATTTGATTTTTATGTAATTCATTCTTTTGATACATGATATACATTTACCCTTCAGTTTAGAAATTCACCAATAAAAATGAAAATATACTGTAAACCATTTTAATTTTGTGAGAGACAAAATACTATATTAAATTCATTTTAATTACAATATTTCTCTGGGGTCTTACAGCCAGGAATGTCAGTGACTTTTTGTCTTCAAATTATAAAAATTATTTTATTGATGGTCTTGCCTAAATGCATGTATAACAACATCAGTTAATTTCTCAGTTAATTGGGCTTGTATAATAATTCATTTCATTAAATTGAGCATATTAATATGAATCCATCTATAATGCTATTTAGAATTTTAATGTGTTTCTATAGTTACCATCAACTATTAGTCAATCATACCAGGGGTTTTTCTAAAAAAAACTGAGGGAGCACTACAATTCAGAGGCGCCACCAAGTGGAAGAGATAAGGTTCTCCTACCAGGGTGTGGATTTTTGTTAAAATTTAGCATTCTATGGCTTCCTTGGGGCCAAATTTACCATCAGAAATATTAACATACCATGTCCCAGCGAGTCCATTGGGAAATCCTCCTGGAAGCCAGATGCATGTTCATTTATACTGTCCTGGTCGTCTCCTTCTTCCAGTGAGCTTATAGCATTTGGGTTGTAATAATCCATCCTTGCACATCAAATACAGGTGACGAAAGTCATGTGACTATAAAGAAAACATACAAATTATGTTTTAATGTTTACCACTTTGGTTCATTAAATGTTATACGGAAAACAAATCTGTTTACGACTAGGCCAAGCACCATATACTACTACCGGTACTTCATTTTTTTTAAATACCTTTAAATATATTTTCTTTTTTTGGCCGATTATACTGGGGGCAAAAACAGAGCAGAATGCTGTTTATAACATTGGTAGTAACATTTGTGCTGTTGTCATGTGTTAAAATCATAGAAAATAGTTCAGAAAATGTTAATTCACTTGACTGCTATTGTACATATAATTGAAAACTGCAGAATAACTATTATTGTCTCCTCTCATATTCTAGTAAGCCAAGCTTCTAGGAAGTGAGCCGGTCACATGGAATAGAATAAATCACAATATACCCCTCTGTTTACTGTAAAATACTTTATTTTAGATGGAATTAATTTTTGCTGAAAAAACGTTTTGAGTGTGTTATATGGAATTTATTTCCACTGATTTTTGATGAGTTAAATGTAAAATATAAGAAGAAAAGTATATTCACTGGATTTTATTTTTACTGAATCATTTCTTCAGCGAAAATAGTGAAAATTAATTCCAAGCAAAAATAAAGTATTTTACAGTATGCAAATCACATCAACATTACACTCTAATGGCATCTACAGGTGAGACGAACCATGCTGTTGAACATAAAAGTGCAATATTTTGAAAATCCAAGTATGGACTGGTTCAACAATATTAAGACACTCAGAGATTAGTGTCAATAATGACAAAGAAAATCACATCAACATTTCACTTGTAAGGTCCATGTAAGCAGCTGACAAAATCGCTACATGCAACCAGCTTGGCAGCAGGTCGGAAGATACCTATATGATATCCAAAACATTGATGTCAATGAACACATACTAGGATAGTAAATAGGATAGATATCTCCTTGTACAGTACTGCTGTCATAAGACTGTTGCAAGAAGATTTTAATATCCTGATGTGACAATTATTCATATCAGTTAAAAAAAACGCCATTGTCACACCCGCTCTTGCACAATGCAATGTGCCGTGTGAACACAATACGACGGCCAAACGCCCGCCATCATATTTATGCTTGTCATTACACATGATGGCATCAGAGATTACAGGTCGAATGTCGAACTGGTCAGGCAAAGAAACAAGATTACTGATATCAGTATGGAGAAAATCGAATATTCAAAGAATGATGGACGAGTATATGCTGTGATTGCAGAAAAAGCGGCTGAAAAGGGGTTAGACAGGACGTCATTACAATGTCAACGGGGATCAAAACTTATAAAGAACAGAGAAGCGACTGAGTACAACCACAAAAGAGATAGAGATCAGAAAACCATGCTATTTTGGGATGAACTACATGAAATATTAGGTGGAAGGCCAGCATTCAATCATCAAACACCGGTGTTTTTACTAAGTGAGAACGCGAGCAGACAATTCAGCAGATTATCTAATATTTGCACAACAAAAAACAGTGTTAACACCAGCGTTTTTTAGACGTGTGAGAACATAGCTTATAGTGGTGTTCTCACTAGACGAAATAAGCTGTTGTCACAACGCCTTTTATTTGAGAACGTTGTTAAAGTGTGTGTGTGAACAGAATACACCGTTGTGGCGCCGGCGTTTTTGACACCGTCCTAAAAAGGATTGACAAGATCCTAAACGCCGTTGTCACACCGGCTCTTGCACAATGGAATGTGCAGTGTGAACACAATACGACAGCCAAACGCCCTCTATCGCCGACTTATTTTGACATTACTTGCTTGACATTACACAAGATGGCATCAGAGGTCACATCGAAAGTCAAACTGGTCAGACAACGAAAAGATTACTAAAGATTACTAATATCCGTTGGAGAGAATCCTATTTCTTTCCTCCAGTTATATCCCCGTTGTCGAATCCAAATCGTTTGGGTTGCCGGGTCTATTTTTGCGTTATTCATACACGCGAATAGCGTGAACATGAACCAATCATTTCTCAGTCTTAAACGACCTAACAAGTTGGCGATTTCTTGCTCTTCGAAATATTGATTAATCGATCGTCGATGCCTTCTTCTCGATCATAAAAACACAAGGAAAAACAGAAAGAAAGTAAATGCATTTACCAGAGGGGACGCCATATTGTCGATTGACCTTTCTATTTGTTTATTGACCTTTCCGTGATATGATTCGTTGTGAGCGCAAAATACCAGTGTTTTTACTAAGTGAGAACGTGAACAGACAATTCAGCAGATTATCTAATATTTGCACAACAAAAAAAAGTGTTAACACCAGCATTTTTTAAATGTGTGAGAACGTAGCTTATGCCCGGTAACTAGTATCAGTGATAAGCCATGTGGCACACAGATGATAACAAGAAATATTGACACACACAGTGGTAAAGTCCACTGTAAAGTAAATAGGGAAACTCAAATAAGGAAATGAATTATACTAGTTTACTACACTTATAAAGTTCATGCTGCCCTCTATATTACAATCATACACTTACATGCAACATGTGGATACAATAATTGTAGCAAAGATGTACTCAGCAAATCACTTTTCTATAATCTCAAGTTTATCAAACAAATATAAATACTGTACTTCAAGAGTAAAGATTATCGAAAAGGGATAATTGTTTAAAAATAAAATTCAGATGAAATGCCTACAAATATGTTTAGATCTCTATCCCTATGTAAATTTATTAATGTACATTTATTATTGTTTTTTAAAAATAATAAATCGTATTCAAGTAAATTTGAGATAGATATTTCTTGTGTTGTTGGACACTCCTTACACTGTCACATACAGATCCAATCATACTGTGCTTTTTCGCCACACGACTGTCCGCATTTGTGAAAGATTTTAGTAGGTTTCAAGATAATTTCTGTAAGCCAGTACTGACACATTTTAAAGAACCAGACTTCAGACCAGCACAGCAGTGGATTTCAGAAAAAAGAGATATGTCGTCAAAATCACTTTTTGCGATCCTTAATATCAATTTGGTGACTGTTTAGTTTGTGACTTCTAAGATACCGTACAAATATTTCACTAGTGACGTGATCAAACAGGAAATCAAAGCACTTACATGCCGCAAACTGTTTTTAATTTCGCTGTCTACAAATTTTTTGAATTGTTTGATAGTAGGTGTTGAATGGTGACGTTACACCACTGATCAGACGACCTTCATTTTGTGCAATGTCATAGCTATGACAATCACGTTATCATACAGATGTTTCAGAACATTGCTAATATAGAAATGTGAAGTTTGGTTATATGTCGTTCTCATTTTTTTATTAAATGCACCTGACTTCACCAATTTCATCTCAAGTTAGTTCATTTGAATGTAGTTAGTCTTTAGTAGCTACGATTCATGAATAACAAATACAGTATATTAACTCATTTATTATTTCTCAATGTCACAGATCATTAATTCTATGCTTATAATATTAAAACATTTTATTTAGAATCATTTTTGAACTTGACAGGGTCTAGCATAACTTTCTCGTAAGGCCATTGATCTTAGTAACCAGCTATGCTAGAATTGACAGATGTCGCATCTGACTCAACCATATACCAACAATCTTGATAATCTGTGTTCATTATGGTACAATCTTCTTCAATGAATAAGTGCATGTGGGTCAAACGATGAGAAAACTGAACCACCCTTTTTTGCACCTAGTGGCTATATGGACACTGATCAGCAACTTCCCCTAGTGATATCACTAGGAGTATTTTTGTACGCAAATGAGAAGCTAATAAGGACTATCGATAAGTGTCATTTTGAGGTACACTAAAACGGCATAGACCATTTTTTTTCAGTAAAAATATTAATTTTGTCCTGAAATACATAAACCATAATTATAATCAATCACCAATAGTTGAAATCGAAAATGAAAATAGCAAGCATTTCATCAGCACTTTAAGCGCTATAGAAATTGATTCCTCACACAAATAGTTACTGTAAAATACTTTATTTCAGCTGGAATTAGTTTTCGCTGAAAAGAATTTTTGGGTATTTTGTATGGAATTTATTTTCACTGATTTTTTGGGAGTTGAATGTAAAATATAGGAAAAAATGGATTTTATTTTCACTAAATCATTCCTTCAGTGAATATAGCGAAAATTAATTGCAAGCAAATATAATTAAAAGTATTTTACGATAGTTGAAAAATAAATAAAAATCAATGATGACAGTTAATTTTCCTATAGTAAATATACTCATGGTAGGACACAAGAAATAACAATAGAAACAGTAATTACACCTATTAATATTACTAAAGGATATTTCAACTGAAACACTGGACTTTACCACTGAGATGTGTACCTTATTTCTACTTTATATCACTGTTTCCACATTGCTTCTGTTAGACAATTACTTTCTGCAAAGAATTTCCCATCTTCACCAGCCAAGAATCATTTATCAACATTAACACTTGGCAGATTTCACCACGATTCGTGGGCCGGTTATGAATGGCTTGCTTTCGCAAAACCGTGCGATTCAGACTATGAGACTTTCCTAAAAAACAGTTTGCCAGTAGACAAAACATGTGTTTGTTTGAGTACCCAATGAATACATTTATACTGTAGGGAAAAAGTTAATATTTGAATATCAATGTGACAAATATTTTAGTAGCTAGCAACATTAATATTTAGACAGTCAGACATTGACCAATGCGTTTATATATTTCTAGTAAGTAAGGGCAAAGATAACTTAGTCAGTGCAATAGAAAGTTTGAGCATAATTGATAATTATGGAAAAAGATCAAAATTGGTTTCCATGGTGAGATTATTTATTTATATCTCAAAATTTTGCTCTGTGACATGAGATGAAAAAGTTGTGTATTAATATTGATATGAAATCTAACACTGTAAAATCATTTCAAAAAATTTACATATTAATTTAGTGAGTTTCCAGGGTTATACTAATTTTCCATTATATACATTAATAGGTTGTCTCCCATAATG